AGAACGGGAGGGTCGCTGGTTGAGTTAGTGGGTCTCCAACGTGCTAGAGTGGATCTCTGGTGCACGAGGATCACCACGCTGCGTGGGTGGGTTACCAGGAGATTCATGTACACACTGAGTGGATCACTCACACAGCAAATGACTAGATCGCTAATGGATCGTCATGCTGAATGAGTGAGTTACTAGAAGAGTGGATTACCCCCGGATTCATGCACACTCAGTGGATAACCAGCTCAGGTGATCTAGTGATCTTCAATGCCTTCACCACATGGACTATTGGTGGATTCGCAGGAGCAGTGACCTAGTGGATTACCAGCAACGCAACCTACTGGATCAACACTGCTACAGTCCAGTGGGTCACCAGAGCAGTGACCTACTGGATCATCTGTGGATCTACAGTGCTGGGACCTAGTGGATCACCAGCCCAAGGAGGCCAGCTCACACCCAGTGCCTTGTCCACGGAAGCCATTACCCGTTACCTTAACACCATGCTCCCCAGGCATCCCCCGAGCACCATCGGCTCCAGCACGACCCTGCCAGAGAGACACAGAGATGGGGTTAGAGGAGGCTCTTTGGGCACTGAACTGCCCCCACCCTGGGGTATCCCCGTCAGGATCCACACACTTACCCTCCTTCCAGGCTTCCCCGGGGGGCCAGACAGGCCCTGCGGCCCGCGGGGTCCCTACAGAGAGAGAGGGAGGGAAAGGGTGAGCAGAGCTTCCCCCACAAGCAGCATGGGGGGGAGAGAATAAATAAATAAATGGAGATATCCCATCTCCTAGAACTGGAAGGGACCTTGAAAGGTCATCAAGTCCAGCCCCCTGCCTTCACTAGCAGGACCAAGTACTGATTTTGCCCCAGATCCCTAAGTGGCCCCCTCAAGGATTGAACTCACAACCCTGGGTTTAGCAGGCCAATGCTCAAACCACTGAGCTATCCCTCCCCCCCAAGAGGGAGAAATGGGGGTGGGAGCTCTCCAGGGTCCGAGGGGCTAATGGGGATTCTGGGGGGTCAGATCAGGGTTAGGCTCCAGGGTGGGACGAGGCTCATGGGGTCAGACGGGGGGGTTCTTTCCTAGTGTCTGAGGGGTTAATGAGGGGTGGGGTGGCAGAGAGCGGTAACAAAGGGTAAACAGAGGGGCGGGCGGCAGCGACCCCGGCTCTGGGTCAGGGTTATAAGTCACAGGAGCCTGTGATCCAAACAGCCCAGAAAAAATCCAGCGTTGAACCAGGGGTCAGAGGTCACTTGCCAGCGTCAAGGGTTAGACATCACGGTCAGGGGCCACTAATCGTGAGTTAGGGTCACAGACCAGAGGTGGGGGTCACGGGTCATTCACCCTGGTCAGGGGCCAATGATTGGGAGCCAGGTTCAGAGACCAGGGTCATGGGCTGGAGAGAGAGGTCAGGGTGAAGGGGTCAGAAGTCAGTGACTGGGGTCAGGTTCCTGAGGTTAGAGTGAAGGGGTCAGAGGTCAGTGACAGGGGTCATGTCCATGGGTTGGAGCAAGAGGTCAGGGCAGGAGCCAGGGGTCAGAGTCGGGGTCGTGCTGGGCTCCAACCCCCCGATCTCCTGCCAAGGCCAAGCCTGTTACCTGGGGTCCGAAGTCTCCGGCTTCCCCCTTCAGCCCGGAGCCCCCTGGCTGCCCCTGGAATGAGACAGCAGAGCAGAGGGGGTTACATGGGGGCAGCACATGGGCTCAGGGCCAC